AAACCTAGCAAATTTGAATTTTGTTTTTTACATTTGTTTAAAAAAGCTGAAATCTTTCCAAACAAACCCTTGCATAAATGAGACAGCTTGGCTGGCTTAGGTGCCGAGATTCACTGGGAACCAGACTTCGTCGTGACGCAACAGTGTTTTGTGTAAAATTTACACAATTTCATAACATCTTTATGTGACTATAAATTGTTTTCAGTTAATTTGAACGTTAATTAAGGCAATACTACAACATCTGCATGTGATTGTAAGTGTTTATAGTGTATTTCGACTAATTCTTGGAAATTTGGCGGATTTTTGATCAATCTGACAGATTTTTGAAGTCCATTTAGCAGCATTTGCCCATGACCTTACGGTCACCCTGTTTTCAACATCCGCGATGTGACAGCTAGTCCTCAATTGAAACTGTCGGCTGAAGCTTCACGGTGCAGCCTGAGTGCAAGGATGAACGGCTGCAGGGATGCATCTGTGTGTCTGTTCCTCGAAGTATTATGTAGACATTGACGTTAACCATATCCTGCATCATATTAGAGCAAAAACACAATGTTTAATTCACAGTGGCTTATTATATGCTTTGTAATTACGAGTAAAATAGTACTGCTAATGCAGAACATGTTCACTGTCGGCCCATTGTACGGCTCGCCCATATTAATACATGTGCAGAGTCATAAACCTATGTGCATTTAACACCGACACAACAGTGAACCATGCGCATGGTTCACTTTTGTCGGTGCATGCGAATGCCTTTATCCGCAATACTATACCATACGATTGACACAATATCGAAATCATTTCCAACATAATGGTATCTAATTTGAAACAAACAAGCGACACGTACCTGCAAACAGTCATGTTTAAGCCAAGGCTCCGCCGAGACTGTTCCGACTGATGATCTGCCATGACGACTCTCCCTATGCGCGGTGCATGCAGCTCACATGGTCGATGTGCCACTTATTGGGTGAATTTCGCGCGCTTTCAACCGTTAAGACTTGTGATTAGCGGACCTGCCCAATAACGGGGCAAGGGCAATTATTTTCCCCAACATACGGTTAAATATTTGTGTTACCCACTTCTTGCGTAAATTATGCAACTTAAGTATACAACTTTTGTATTTACCCAACAACGTCAATTAGCCAACAAATGGGGAAACACTGACCAACAATTGCGTGATTTACCCAACGAGTGTTGTGAGCGGCGCACTAGTAACTGCGGCTTTCGAGGGGCAGTTTCCCATCCCGATGAGTTATCGCGAGAGAGGAGCACTATTGTTTTGATGGCCAATTTTCCCATCTCGAGAGGGGCACATTTTTATTATTGCGAGAGGGGCATTTGTGCTTTCGAGGGATACTTTTTCATCTCAAGAAGTTAACAATCTTGTTAATGCGCGAGAGGTACTTTGAGGGGCACTTTTGCATTACAAGAGAGGAGACAATCTGTATAAGTGCTCTCATAATACTTTCATGTGTGCGTTTGAGGGGAACTTTGGTTTTAATCTCGAGGGGCACATTAAATGACCGCGAGCGGGGCCCCTTTGTTGGCCTGTGAAAATGGGGGGGGGGGGGGGGGGGGGTAGTGCGCCCCACCCCGCCCCGAGTCCACCGCCCCCGTGCAGTGTATATTTCTACTGAGGTTCGTTCTATGTTTATTAGTTTCGTTTTATATTTATATTAGTCTCGTTCTATATGAGTTTCGTTGAGTTTCGTTCTACTGTATGAATTTCGTTCTATAATGAGTTTCGTTCTATATGTATGAGTTTCGTTCTATGATAGATTTATATTTCGTTCTATTTATGAGTTTCGTTCTATTTATGTGAGTTTCGTTCGATATATATGTTTGTTTCGTTCTATATGAATTTTGTTCTATATACAACGTGTATCCAAAAAAACTGCAAACAAAATATAACGGAATGCCAGACGTAGAATGAGTAACCTACATAGATAATAGTTTTTGAAAGATACACCTTTCCACTTTAAAATGAGACGTCACAAACGTCAAAATCTGATTGACAGAGGTATGAGTAATTTTCCAAGAGAGGTCAAATTGACAGTGGAACCAAGTTTTAAATTGTTGGCATTGGGACAAAGGTAACCTAATTGCTTCTGTGTGGATATTTGCCTGGCCTACAAGAAATGTGTTCAGTAGCGTTTAAACGTGTAAAGGGCGCCCGCTTCGACGAATCGCTGCACAGTCCAATGACCGGTGCGCGGAAAAACATGATCGCTCCGCTTTGGACGTTTGGAACCTAGACTATCCTGGGTGGGGAAAAGCAATGAGTGACAAAGTGCCTTGCCCAAAGGTACACGCACCATAACCCTAGGCTAGACTCGAACCATTGCCCTGCAGAAATCAATTATAAACTAAATAAAAATAAATAAATTAAAAAAACACACCGACAAGCCAAATGAAAAACTCGTACAGTATGTCACAAACTGATGTAAAAAATCATACTAATGGCCAAACTGAAAGAATCGGCAGTACATATATATTATAAGATATAATTATCATTTCGCACAAGTGCGGTTTTCACTGTTTTATAGTTATTTTTCGAGTTGAATTCGGGCATTTTGTACTTCCAACCTACTATCTCCACACATACACCCCTAACCATCGGACAAGACAAGGGCGTCGATACAAAAACATGGGCATCGCAAGTTTTTTATTTGGGGGGGGGGGGGGGGGGGGCAAAGCACAGTTTTCCCATAAAATCCTTGTACACTCTCTCGCATATTTTCAATTGATCATTTTTTTTCTTCACGGGTAGGCGGGGGACATTTGCCCACCTCACCCCCATTTACATCCCGTGCAGATTCCCATTTTGTTAAATGTGTGTTAATTTGAAAAGCAAATATGACTGCACACCTCTTTTTTTTCTCTCCCCTCCCCCTTTTTCTAGTGGGGGGGGGGGAGGGGAAGTTTCCCCCTTGCCCCCCCCCCTATCGCGACGTCCCTGTACAAGGAGAAATGACAACAGACATCACAAAGCTCTCCAGACATAGCAAAAATAATAAAAAAGGTGGGTGGTTGGCAGGGTTTTTGGAATGATGTTTGAATATACTCGTATACACAGCCACAATAAGTCAATTCCCGATAAAATCTACTGTTATCGTTAACTTAAATGCTAATTCAAGACTTTAATGCTTTTTGCTCTTATTACTTATCTTGCTCGTGCACTATATTTATCTTGCTCATGCTGATGGAGGACATCGTGCTCGGCCTCGTTTTGTGCATGGGTTGACCTCTATGATCATTCCAAACGTTAAGAAGCTGCAGGGGATATAACCCCTGTCTCACGACCCCTAGGATTTATGTCCATGCACTGCTGACTAAAATATTCGCACATCAAGCGTGAAGGTGACAATCTAAAAGGAGCTTCATTGACGTCAAGAATTTACACACAGGAAATGGTATTCTTTATAACTTATCTTTCTAACTTCTATACAATTACGTCTGGTTTACTTATGGAAAATCACACATCAATTTATTTTATTTACACACATTGTTGGTGTTGTGAATTACTTTAGAAAGATTTAAAACATTGGTTTTGCCCTTCCCTTAAGTCAAGTTTAAGCACTACATGCTCATGGTTTCAGAGCTTGTGAGAAAAGATCCAACCCCAGGGGTGGATCTATAGCTTTCAGTAAAGGAAGGGGGAGGGGGAGGGGCGGGTTGATACTGGGGTCCGGGGTAAGAACCCCCCCCCCGAATTTTTTTGAAATTTACCGATGCTTTCTCCTGCATTCTAAGGCAATTTGATGATAAATAAGGAGCTTTGAGCATTCCATTTACTTTTGGCCCCATTTCACTATAGGTTTTCCCGGCTATTTTAAAACATTTTTTTGTTCGAATTCAACAATTCGTATTATTTAAATTCGTCCAGCAACATCGATTTAGTGCACTTCCAATGTTCAATCTCGTCTTTTGTCAGACAACTTCAAATTTAGTCCAAACAAATTTAAAAAATGAACAAATGTTTTCCCGGCGTATTAGATTTCGTCTCTTCTACAACGAATCGTGTTATTCAGGAATCAAATTCGTGTAATTGGTTTACAATTCCAACTGATGTACTGGATGAGTAAAAAAAAATGAAACCCAAATGTCAGGACCATTGTTTTACTGCACGTAGCACTGTCAAAATCTAGGATACAAAAGCCCAATTCATAAGCTTTCTTTTAGTACAATTGTACTAAAAGAATCTTAAGAATAATTCAAATCACTCATGTAATTTTTCAAGTTACGGAATTTTAACACACAACCACCGTTTTAAAGTTCTGTCCAAAGTAAAAGAATGCATGTTTTTGTAATCCGTGGACAGAACTTTAAAACGGTGGTTGTGTTCATTAAATTCCGTAACTTGAATAATGCAAGTGTGATTTGAATATATCTTGTATCACAAGAAAGCTTATGAATTGGGCTTTTATATGCTAGATTTTGAAAGTGCTACACGCAGAACTTCACTAAAACAATAGACCTGACATTTGGGTTTCGTGTTTTTACTCACCCTGTATATATTAGACGAATTTGATCTCTGAATGCTGCCATTCGGCAACAGCTTAGACGAATATCGAAATATGATCTGTGATGTCGATGACAAATATTCTCGACCCGGTGACTAAAGAGGATGACCAACCTTTGAAATTGAATGGCAAATGCAGGCGCGGATTACCCCCAGCTTTTGTCCAAAATTGTTTTTTTCCCCCACAGAAATTCATTAAAAATAATGCGAAACAACCCCTCCCCTGCTCTGACACCCTCCCCCCCCCAAAAAAAAAATTACTTACTGGTAATAATGTCCACCTGTGCACAAAATACGGTTATAGCCAGCTTGGTTTAGGGGGTATTTGTACACTATTCTGTAATATGGTGTTAACTATCGTCGGTTGAAAGTATAGTACGAGCCCCCCCCCCAAAAAAAAATATTCTCGAAAGAGAAAAAAAACTGTCTACATTTGAGATTTTTTTTGCTGATCACCCCCCCCCCCGCAAACATTCCTGGATCCGCCCCTGGCTTTGTTAAAAGCATGTAATTGTTTTCTTGTCCGAAATTGAATGCTAGAATTGGTGAGTTTCAATGAAAAATGTTTTTAAATACTCGGGGAAACCTTGGCCTATATATTAAAGTATCATAACGTTAGTCAGCGGCTGCAACACCCAAGCCTATAGATTTACCACTGGACTCACGACTCCCGGCTTACAAGGGAAGACGTGTTACCACTCGACCATCAAGATTCTGATTTTAGTGACTGAAGGATAAAACTAGATGAATTTCTCCGACAACAGTTATTAAGATCGTAGACTGGTCCGGAGAGTATGGGTGGTCGTTAAATCGGCTTGCCTTGGTACTCTTCTGGGTCGCTTGTCACATGTTATGATCCGTACAAAAGCTCGTCGGAAATCTAAATTGAAGCACGTGTAAATGCATGGATTGACTGCTGAAGAAATATAGCCAAGCCAAGTAAAAACAATGAAAAGTTCATTGGGAGGATGGCATGATGAGCAAACACCACTAAGGAGGTGAACGACGAAGAACGGTAGCCACAACACAATAAAGCACACAAAAACAACCACTAGTGTTTTTGCAGCACGACGTTCCCTCTTGCTTGTCATCCATCGTTGTCTTGTTTTGATTGCCTCTGTTTGCGTGCTTCCATAACCAAGACTGGATTTTTTAACTCCAGTACAGAATGTTATTCGAAGTGATCTTTTTCTGACGACGTTAGTACCTTGACTACCATTTGCTGCGGGGTTATCGTGTGCAGGGGAGTCACCACAGCTGACAGTTGTTGAGTTGCTGTTCACCTGCTGAATAGGTGTTCGAGAAGTTGGCTCCCGAATCTCTACAGCTGATTTCCTTCCGCGAAGCTTCCTGACTGCTCTCCAATCTACAACAATCATAACCGCAAGCGGTACATAGAATGAACACATGGACGAGTAAATGATGAACGTGGAATTAAAATAACCACAGTCCCGTCCTTCATTTTGTAATGTACTATCGGGGTCCACAAATCCTTGAACGAATAACGGAATGCATATAGCGACTGAAACCATCCACACAGGAACGATTGTACCCAGAATTCGTGGGCGGGAGTTGACTCTTTCTCGAGAGAAGTGAAGAGGGAAGGTAACAGCCAGGTAGCGATTGACAGCAATAGCACAAAGATGAATAATGGAGGCAGTACAAAGCATTACGTCTAAAGCAAGGTAGATAACGCACAGCGGAAGTCCAAGTCCCCAATGGCCACGTACCTGTAACGATAAAAAAAAAGAACCAAAACGAACTAGTATTAATTGAAATTGTTGTCTCCCAGCAACACATCACAATTAAGTTGGCAACAGATATCAAGTTGTGATGGAATGGTAAGCGGTAGGGGTCCGAGGTTAGACTTGAAATTCAGTCGGTAATAAGCCGGGTTTTGTTCGCCCGCGCCGCGCACCGCGCCGCCGGACATGGACTAGCCCTTACAGAAATCCCACATGTAGTTCCCATGGGAAATTTTCCAATGGGAATTGCATGGTGAATTGGACACCATGTAGCGTGGAATTTTTCCCTTGAGAGTTTTCCCATTGGCTTTTCCCCATGTGTATGGTTTCCTATCATTTCTCAAAAGATTCCAAATTGCTCCATGGTATTTTTCAATAACAACTTACTTAAAACATTTTAACCCTGTGTGTTTTGTGCTATTCATCGAATAGGTATAAAGCACATTGTGGAACTCCGATGGAGGTTGTTCCACGTATTAGGAGTGACTTATGCACTTTATAACCAATGAGCATATTATTGCTTCCATACCACTTGTCAAGTTGTACCATATTATCACAGTTTTCCCAATTTATTTTCTCATAAATGTATGTTTCTAATCATAATAACAAATGAATCAATATTATCCAAAGTTCTTTAAATAACACATTTTCCACATAAAAAAATACTGTATGCTTCATTTGACTTCACTTATCAAGAGAAAGTTTCAAAAATTTGCAATTACAATACTCGTTATTGAGCCGATTCTCACAAAAATTTCCCATGGTGTTCCCTTGGTGGCCCATGGAGTTTATCCCATTGTGTTCAGTTGGTGAAAATCGAGTTTCTCATGGTCAGCATAAACAAATAGAATTCTTGATAACCTCTTTGACCACAAGGGAAACATTTTTAATTGAATTCAAATTTACAGGCGAATAATTAATTAAATTAAAGAAAGGTTTGCCTATAACTTGGGAGTGCAATTGGGTCTATGATGGTTCACATGGCATATGCATGTTCTCCAGTATAACCTGGCGTACATTGTGTACCCATGTGTCTAAAATCCCCATGATGTTCCCATGGTGTCCAGTAAATCCCCATGGTGTTCCCATGGTGACATAAAATCCCCATGGTGTTCCCATGGTGTGCATGAAATCCCCATGGTGTTCCCATGGTGTCCATGAAATCCCCATGGTGTTCCCATGGTGTTCATAAATTCCACATGGTGTTCCCATGATGTCCATAAAATCCCCATGGTGTTCCCATGGAGCTCATAAAATCCCCATGGTGTTCCCATGTTGTCCATGCAATCTGTTCCCATGAGTTTTCCTTGATAAGCATAAAATCTCCCATGGTGGTCATTTTAACTTACATGGTGTTCTTGATGACCCCATGGGTTTCCCATGGGAATCCCATGGGATGCTCATGGGACACTTATACAGGGTTCGAAATTAGCGGTTGCCCGCTAGCCAAATGCTAGAAAACAGCGGCGGGCTAGTCAAACTATTCCTTAAGTTGCCCGGCTGGCGAGTCGAAAAAATTTATTGGGATACGGCACAGATGAAAGAACAGGAAGAAATAAATCATGAAATTCAGAAAGCAAATTGTGTATAATTTTATCAACTGTTTTACAGGGTTAAATTATCAGATCTGTTTATTAAAAACACTGACAAAACTGCCTCGGAATAGATGAGAAATTAGTTGGAAATGGATAAAAATGTATTTTACTTACGACATATTTTCGTAACTAGGTCTCCTTGTTCGATCACGTCTGTTTTCGCAATCGCGTACTTGTACTTGTACGAAAATGATAACGACGCAAATATTTCACTACCTACATCTGATTGATTCTAGATTTATTCAGGCTCGTTTGGATCACGTTTTAATACAATTCCTACCAACGGTCATTTTAGATTTGTTTGTAAGTGATCGAGTTCCACGAGTCCACACGGAAGTTTCGGAAGTGAGAGGTCAATTTTTGGGACGATTTTTCAATTTCACGTTAATGGCATTTTTCAGTTCCATAAAATTCCGAGGGTGCTTTTTTTTTATAAAGAAATCAGTATACCAAAACTGATTACAAAAATTCTGACCTTTACACGTTAATTCCTTTTCCTTTTCGAGGGGCTCGAAGCGCCACAGGGGGTCAACTTTCAGGCTCTATACACGTTTTGTATGTACATTGTTGTTTGTGAGACAATATATCAAAGAGAAAATATGCGGGCTAGTAAAAATGCCCACGGGCAGCAGTTAAGAGTCTGTTTCAGTAGCCCGGCGGGCTAGTGAACAAAAAAAGTTAAGGTCGAAACCTGGTATACGGTACCACATCGTCCCATGTACGTGCAGGGGCGGCGGAACCGGGGGGGGGGGGGGGCGGGAGCGGGGGGGGGGGGGCACTTGGTCCGCCCCCGCCCAGCCTTCCAAGTGCCCCTCTAGCGGACATAAATGTGCCGCTCGCGATGAAAACAAAACTGGCCCTAAAATTTGGGAAAATTTGTTTTCAGTAACCATTTCCCAAAATGGTATAGAGATTTCTGATATGAACGAGAAATATGAAAACCAAGCCCCAAACACCTTTCAAAGCGTAATCCAGGATTTGCTTAGGTATAGCTTCACGTTGCATGCAGCCTCGACTCCAGGGGCGCGTGCTCGTTCCTTACACTAACCCCTGGCTGTGATGATGACGTAAATGACGCTGAATGGCTATTCACAGCGTACTGCGCGGGCATTTCGAAGATTGCACGCCGGGCGCGCCCATAATGCGCTCGCGCTCGCATGCTTAGCTTTGCACGTAACGTCACGTACGAAAAAAAATATATGATTCAAAAGTCGCGATATGGATTATGTCAGCCGCGTTTTTCGCTAACCCCCCCCCCTGTATCTGTGGTTGTAAAGGCACGAAAGGGGTACGTACATTTAATACAAATCTTTGCTAATTAACACAAAGGATTGATTCTTCAAAATCACAACTTTAAACATTTTAAAGATGGCGTCGGCACGTAAAACGGATAAACTGCAGCCCTAATTATAATGTACCGTATTTTTGCACATTTAAATTACACAATTCCAGGGGTTACGATCGCGCAAGGCATGATGGGAAACAACATGGCGCTGCAAGATCGTACCCACGGGGCACGAGGTTGCGTTGCATGCTTTGATTGAAAAATCAAGGCAGTTAAAAAGACAAATGTTTTTTCTGCAGGCGTTTCCAGAGTCAGAGCAGTTCCTGCTTAACGGTGAATGCGAAACGGCTTCGTGTATAAGTTGGGAGTCCGGTAACGGGAAGGTGGGTTGGTCAGGTGGCGCCTTGTTCTGTATGAACTGCAGACGGTCAATAATATTGTGCGTCAAGACGCTGAGGTACACTGTAAAAATCCTTATGATTAATGCGTGTGAAATGTGTAATATTCGTTGTGAGTAACCGTAGGCCTAAATGAACTACGGACAAACCCAAGAGACTGCTCGCAGTTCAATGTTGGATAGCGAGCGTATGTCAACAACTTTTTTTTTGTTATACCACGGTAATAGATCGTGATTTTTTATTGGTCGAGAACTGAACATTTGATGTGACACAAACACATTGTGTCAAGGGCGTACCCACTGACCTCTATTATAAAGACCGGATAGCGGATAAAGAGCCGCACAATGAATTCATTTGACGCCATATTGGTGAGACCGGCTGGTGATCTAAGGAAAAGTTGTCGTCTTTGTAACATCGTGGTTCGCCTGGTGTACGTTTTGTCCACCGCCACTGACACACGACTGACTGACTACGTTTCACACTTTGTCAAACGTCGTGGTTTACTTTTGGATGCCGCAGTTCACTTTTTGCAACGTTTGGAAATAGGTGAGACCGGCTGGTGATCTACAAAGGACAAGTTGTCGTCTTTATAGGCATCATGATTACTTTTGAAACATCGCGGTTCACTTGATTTTTATTTTGACCACCACCATAGTACACTGACCACGGTTTACAAAGTTTCTAACGTCGTGGTTTACTTTTTAATAAAGTTCCTTTTTTCGGCGTTTTGGAAATTATAATCACTACGGAAATGTGTCCTTTTTAGAACATCATAATACGTGTACGTGACCAAAATGCGCGTCAACTGTTATACAACGCGCGCGTATACGCATAGAACGTTCGTAACCATTGATACATATCGTACAGTCATCGCGAGTAAAAAATCCGAGTAAAAAATCGCGAGTTAAAAATCTTAATAATTTTTGTACGTGACGTGACATGCAAAGCACGCGAGCGCATTATGGGCGCGCCCGGCGTGCAATCTTCGAAATGCGCGCGCAGTACGCTCTGAATAGCCAGTCAGCATCGTTTACGTGTACATCACGGCCATAGATATAGAATAAAAAGACCAGGGGTTAGTGAAGGAACGCGCACGCGCTCTATGGAGTCGAGGCTGCCGCTATCCAGTCATTATATCTTAATAGACCGCTTGCAGACGCGTTTGATAATTGACGCGCGAAGGTGCGCGACGCCATGTTGTGGGACAAAATGTGCATGGATAGATATGCGCTTGTCCCACAACATGGCGTCGCGCGCCTTCGCGCGTCGATTATCGAACGCGTCTGCAAGCGGTCTATAGAGATCAGGGCAGTGGCGTAGCCAGGAATTTTTCAGGGTGGGGGGGTGGGGGGGGGCGAACATTTCATGGGGTGGCGTCATGAAAATCAATGATAATTTTTTTAGAAACTCAAAATCTCAGTGGGGGGCGACTGGGGGGGGGGGGGCGACAAGGTTTCATGGGGGGGGGGGCTGTCGCCCCCCCCCACGCCCCCCCCCCCGTGGCTACGCCACTGGATAAGGGTGACCCCGTGAGTGATGTACCCCGCACGAGGTACATTACCTTGATCGTCCCCACTGTTGAAAGTGTTGTTCCAACCGCCTTTTATATAAATCGGGAAAGAGGCTTCAGACAGCGTGCTCACGCGCGTATGCCTGTCGGATGGACGCGCGCGCACACTATGTCAGATGGATGCACATAGACCGTGGTCGCAGCTGTGATATTGGTACGTAACGGAACAGTGATTAATGCATGGGATTGGTCTATTCTGGGTGAAGGTAAATTAATTTAATATGTTCATGTGCAATGGAAACCAATTGTGGTGCAGTACTCGCAGATCTTTTAAAAATAATGCCGAGGAGGAATTTTATGGGCAATTGTTTACAGGTATTTCTGTAACTGTGGGGCCTCGGGAGTTGTGCAATAGGAGGATGTCTTTATTTTTCACAAGAAAGTGTACACTCTGAATGGATAGAGATACCCCCTCCTGGACTAAGGATGAAGGACCGTCGACAAAAGGGAGCCGGGGGAGCAGGGGCGTCAATAATTTCTCAATAGTGGGGGATCATTACCTTGATGAGAACTAATGCGAGTGCAAAGTGCGAAGCCCTTACGCTGCGTGGGTTTCTTGGCCCGCTTAAGGCCCCGAAAAAAAGAAAGATTCTAGACGCGCGCTCTCTGTGGTGCGATCTTAGGCAATGTGTAATCACTTTAACCTGTGATTTGTTTGTTAGCAAATGATAATCATTTAAACATCATTTATCGAGATTGGAGTCATTGAATCAGATACTCTGAGTCTGAGCTAAAGGCCTGGAGTTCGGGGGCCGCTTAAGGGCCCCGAAAAAGTTTTGATTCTAGATGCTCTGTGGTGTGATCTGAGGCAATTCCTGACCACTTTAGCCAATATTTTCTCAGCAAAAAATACATTGTAGTACATAATAGGCCCTTTAAAAGAGACACACGAGTTCAAAAATGGGGTGGGGCATTGATATTGTGTTCCCCATCCTTTAAACAGTGGGGGGGGGGGGGGGGGGGGGGGTTGAGGAACATGTCCCCCTGCCCCCCCCCCCCAGGATTGACGTCCATGCAGGGGGAGATAAGTCTAACCAATCGCTAATTCGCCCCTATGGGCTCGGTCTGTCAACAGAGAGGGAGCATTTTCACCACTTTTGAGAGCGGTTTTGGCGGGAACGGTGGCACACGTGACCTGGACCCGCGCGGTTTTGGCGGGAACGGTGGCACACGTGACCTGGACCTGCCCGGTTTTGGCGGGAACGGCAGCACACGTGACCTGGATACACGCGATTTTGGCGGGAACGGTGGTACATGTGATTGCTTGACGGGCCCGTGTGGCCCAAAAGTAAGGCGCCAAACACAACCTAATGAGGCAGATCCCCCCCAGAGGATCTGCCGTTAACAAGCCAATGAGGTGGATCCTTACCACTCTGAGAGGATCCGCCGTACACAAGCCAATGAGGCGGATCCTTACCACTCGGAGAAGATCCGCTGTACACAAGCCAATGAGGCGGATCCTTACCACTGGGAGAGGATCCGCTGTGCACAACCAAACGAAGCGGATCCAACACAGAGAATCCGCCGTGCACAAACCAATTAGGCGGATCCCCCCCCCCCCGAGGATCCGCCGTGCACAAACCAATGAGGCGGATCCTTACCACTCGGCTCGGAGAGGATCCGCCGTACACAAACCAATGAGGCAGATCCTTACCACTCGGAGAGGATCCGCTGTGCACAACCCAATTAGGCGGATCCCCCCCCCTCCCCGAGGATCCGCTGTGCACAACCCAATTAGGCGGATCCCCCAGCGACGATCCGCCGTACACAAGCCAATGAGGCGGATCTGATCCGCCATACACAACCATATGAGGCGGATCCCTCTCAGAGGATCCGCCGTACACAAACCAATGAGGCGGATTCTTACCACTCCGAGAGGATCCCCCCAGAGGATCCGCCATGCACAAATCAATGAGGCGGATCCTTACCACTCGGAGAGGATCCGCCGTACACAACCATATGAGGCGGATCCCCCCCCCCAGAGGATCCGCTGTGCACTAACCAATGAGGCAGATCCTTACCACTCGGAGAGGATCCGCTACACACACACACACACACACACACACACACACCTATGAGGAGGATCACCCCCAGAGTACACAAGCTGTACACAAGCTAATGAGACATATCCTTACCTTGCAGAGCAGATCCGCCGTGCACAAATCAACGATGTGGACCCTTACAACACAGGCAGATTGCAATGTAAATGGACCAAAGGTCCAGATCTCGGCAATGCAGATCGAGATTACCCGGAAAGGACGCTCCCCACACAAAACAGAAACACATATCCCCTTGAACCTTTGCACTGGAGACAGTTAGAAACCGGACCACGCTATGGAGCGCAAAATCCCGGCAAAATGCAGGGGCAGGCATGGACACGTATAACACCATCCGACCATGTGCCACCAGCTACCGCTGGGGGGAATGTCGGGCTGCGAGCAAAGCATGATCAACTGGAAGGAACCCTAAAGGGAAGAGAGGGAGCGGACAAAGCTGGTGCAGTCAGGAGACCGATGATGCTTCCAGACCAGTTCGACGGCATGTCCTCTTGGGCCGACTACCTCATTCACTTCGAGAGTGTGTCGATGGTCAATGAGTGGGGCGAAGCAAAGAAGGCAATGTTCTTTGCTTCTCACCTAAAAGGAGCGGCTCGAGAGGCACTATTGGACATGACACCAGGACAGCGCACCCAAGTTCTCCGCGATCCTGGAACACTTCGAACAACGCTTTGGAGTCAACTCGCAGGTTCCGCTCTACCGGGCCCAAATATCAATGCGTACGAAGGGGAGGGAGGAGCCCCTAAGTGATCTCGGGCAATTAATCCGCCAGCTCATTTCTAAGAGCTACCCGGGACTGCCAACCAAGGGCAGGGAGGACTTGGTGTTTGCCGGAAAAGCCAAGACCTTGGCTCAAGCGGTTACACTGGCTACAGAGATGGAAGCTTTTCTGGAATCACAGGCGCACATCAAGAAAATTCGGCCAGGGGCAAAAGATGTGCGAGTGGTCGTCCCACAGCCACCTTCAACCCCGGGGGATGGGCAGGATCAAAGAGCACCCACTCCGTTCCAAGACAAAAGTAACATGGAGTGCTTCCACTGCCATGAACGGGGTCACTTCCAGAGAGAGTGCCCTAAGCGCGATTGGTTCAACAATGCCAACGGGGGTAAAGGGCAGAAGGGTACGGGAGCAAGGCAGGCATCAGGCGACCAGGGAAAACAGGAGCAAGAAGAAAGAAAACCCATAAGACACAGACAAGTTCCGGACGAGGGGACGCAGCAAGGACAAAACAAGAACCCATTGCAATGGCGAAACCGGGACCAAGTTTCGGCCTTGGCGAGATTGCTGGCACAACTGTTCGTTTTTTGTTGGACACTGGTGCCTCACTGACCATCATATCTCGGCGGGTGTATGAGTCGCTGAAGACGACAGAAGGGAGGCCAGAGTTGCAGCAGATGTCGCCCACTCTAAAAAAGAATAAATGGCAGTCCCATGAAAGCGTGGGGTACAGCAGATTTTAGACTTCAGATTTGTCAACAAACCTTCAATCACAGCTGCACCGTGGCTGATATCGAGTTGGAGGCAATCTTGGGGATAGACTTCCTGTCCGCTTACAACTGCCAGTGAAAATGGAGTCATGGTGCCATAGTCATCAATGGAATTGAAGCCCCCCTGATTCACGACAAGGATCGGCATTCAGTATCAAGAGTGTTCATCCTCGACAACAGCATCGTACCGTCTGGCCACAAAGCAATTTTGAGGGGCCAATTGCCCCATATGAAGGCGACAGAGGTAGGGATTGGGGTCGTCTACCCTGATTTAGAGTCAGGAGATCATTGTCCGGTGGCTATTGCGACCAGCCTGATCGACACAAGACTGGAGACTGTGCCCATTCGAGTGCTCAACCCCACGGCCGATCCAGTAACAATCTACAAGGGGACCAGGTTGGCCCTGTTTTCACCGGTGGAAGCCCGGGACGTAGTGGAGTTGGATGAGGCTTGCCCAACCCATACGGTGGGGTATGTCACCACATCTGCAACGGGAGAAGCAAGTGCATCATGGGATAAGATACCGGCCCATCTGCAAGACCTCCATGACAGGGCAGCCCAGCTTCTGAGCAGGCAGGAGTGCGATAAAGTAGCTCAACTTTTGACCAGCCATGAGGATGCATTTGTTGGACCTGACGGACGGTTGGGTCAAGCTGGTTTGGCTGAACATTGGATCCAGACTGGAGAAGCACCCCCCATTCGGCAGCCCACCAGAAGAATACCAGTCCATAAGCGCAGAGAAACAGACGAACAACTGGGGAAGATGTTACGGGATGTCGTGGTCGAACCATCTACCAGCCCATGGTCGTCACCGGTAGTCCTGGTGAAGAAAAAGGATGGGATGCTTAGGTTTTGCGTGGACTACCTGAAGCTAAACGACGTAACAACAAAGGACGCTTACCCAATACCCCGGATCGAGGACAACCTAGACGCCATAAGTGGGGCTAAGTGGTTCAGTACACTAGACCTAGCCAGTGGCAAGTTAGTATGGACCCGGACCATAAGGAGAAGACAGCCTTCAGCACCCACAGTGGGCTCTATCAGTTCACCGTAATGCCCTTTGGGTTGTGCAACGCACCTGCCACCTTCGAGCGTTTGATGGAAAGAGTGTTGAGCAGGCCTACAGTGGCAGGCAGCTGTGGTGTACTTGGATGATGTGATCGTCTGGGGGATCGACTTTGAAGAACACTACCAGCACTTGGCCTGTATCCTCAACCGGTTCCAAGCTGCAGGCCTTAAGCTAAAACCCAAGAAATGCGACCTCTTCAAGACCGAGTTGTCCTTTCTGGGACACTTAGTGTCAGCAAGTGGGGTGAAGACTGAACCAGCGAAGGTGGTAGCAGTACAGCGTTGGCTGCAGCCGGCGAACGTGAAACAGGTTAGGAGTTTCCTAGGGCTGACCTCCTACCACCGCCGCTTCATCAAAAACTTTGTGGAAATTGCCCGGCCACTGCATGTCCTTACCAACAAAGACGCCAAGACATTCCTGTGGACGGATGCCTGTCAACAAGCATTTGAACAGCTCAAGGATTCCTCTCGAAATCCACACGGACCAGGGGCGGGAGTTTGAGGCGGAGCTGTTTCAGAGTGTCTGTCGACTGTTGGGCATCCACAAGACACGTACGACGCTGTTCCACCCCAATCTGATGGCGTAGAGCGGTTTAACCGCACGCTCAAGACCATGCTCAGTGTCTTCGTCAAGGAGAAACAAGACGACTGGGACAAACACCGTTCTGCTAGGCACGAGAGCACGAAGACAACACCAAACATGCTCATGCTTGGCAGGGAAATTGGCCTACCCTTGGACTTGGTGGTTGAAGCCCCCAAAGAGTAAACACTTGAACCCGTGGACCAACACGACTACGCCCAGGGGCTGAGGGAGAAAATAAGAGATGCTCACATTTTCGCCAGAAACCACCTCAGGGCGAGCCAACCGCACCAGAAGAGGTGCTATGACCTCAAGCTCCACGGAAGCGGCTACGGGCTAGGGAGTCTGGTCTGGTTGTACACCCCCCAACGGAAGCCGGGAAGAGCTCCAAAACTACAATGCTGGTGGGACGGGCCATTCATCGTGCTCTCAAAGATCGATGATGTGACATACCGAATCCAGAAGTCGCCTCGCTCCAAGCCGAAGATGGTACAATACAGCAGCTTCAAGCCCTACCTTGGGGAAGTACAGGCGGACTGGTGGACCAAAGCTGTGCACGTGGCTGAAACTGAACCTCAATCCCTGGACGGGGAAGAATTGTCAACCAGGGGGGACGTAGAACCTGCCGGCCCGCGACAGGTGAGGGTGCCCAGACGCAGACGCGTTAGGGTGGAAGACCCTGAGCCAACCGAGGTTCCTACGGAGCCCGTACAGGAAACCAGGCACGGCCGGCCCGTAGTTAAGCCCCACAGGTATCGCTATCAACTAAATAACTTTTTCTCTTCTTCCCCCTGCAGGATAGAAGCGGTGAGCTGTAAGAAGTGTGGGAGGACATTCACAAGTAAGTCCAACCTCCGGCGTCACCGGAGAACCTCCTGCAAGGCAACACACCCAGTGAAGCCATTTGTATGTGGAAGGGGCTGCGGCCAAGCCTACTTCCGGTCAGATACCCGTGCAAAACATGAACGGGTGTGCAGTGGAGTGTAGCTAGTGGCGCCCATGCAGCAAGATGTGCTGGAGATCTTCGCCAACAATGAGGAGCTGGAGTTCCCTGATCCAGCTGCAGAAGATGTAGAGCCCCAGAGCGACCACGTGCCAGCCCCCGACCTGCGACCGAGAAGACATACGAGGCCAGCTGCCGTCCGGAGCGGCCTCGTGCCAGCTACCGGCCTGCGACCGAAAAGACATCCGAGGCCAGCTGCTGTCCGGAGCGGCCTCATGCCAGCTACCGACCTGCGGCCAAAAAGACATCCAAGGCCAGCTGCCATTGAGGGCGGCAGCGTGCCAGCCCCCGACTGGTGACTGAAGAGACACCCGAGGTCAGCAGAGACACCCGAGGTCATGCCACCCACCGACCTGCAATGGAAACGTCAGCCAAGGCCAGCTGCCGTTCGGAGTGGCCTCACGCTATTCCACAACTAGTGGCCACATCCACAGCTGAAGCTAGCTGCCAGTGGGAGCGGCCGCAGACTGCCACAGATGGCCCAGATTGACTGCCTGGAGCCGAACACAGCAGAAAGAGGCGCTGGACTGGCATTATGAGGCAGGATACCACCAGTCAAATGCCAGCGGAAGCGGGAGAGCATATCCCTGTAGGCTCCCACATCAAGTTTCCGGATGGGTCCCGCTGGACCACATCTTCCCCTGGGGGGCTGGAGCTGGAGAGGGCGCAGCCCACTCAGGACGCGACTACAGAAATGGCGGAGACACTATGCGAACATCACAAGGACAGCTGGGAGCTGGAGCACGTCGGCGTCGGAGTAGACGCACACAGGCACCAGCTGTTCCGCAGCCGAGTGCCCGGCGCATCTGCTACAGACCTACCAAGGGCCGTATATGCAGTATTTTGTGGACCCTACCATCGCCAACCAGCCTTCTCTGCGAGGATTCCTTCCCTGTGGAGTTCTGGGAAGTGTTGTTCCACCGCACGGAATTCCAGCGGAGATCCCTACCACCAGCCCCATCCCCTCGGAGATCCCCACCACCAGCCCCAGCCCCTTGAACCTGCAACCGAAGCCGTGAGGTACTAATTGTTTGAGGGCAAACAAGGATCCTGGGAGGGGGCGATGTAGCGTCGGAGACGACCCGTCAACTGAGGGCGCTATACCACTTCGACGGTGCGGATCGAAGCCCCTGAAAAAGAGACTATAAAACCCGTTCACGGGACGCTTTTGTCGGGTTGTGGAAATTTCCACTAGTTGGTCACATGTTGAGAGTTCAGAAGTTAAGAAGTGTTTTCGTATTGCTGTAAAGTCCTGTGAAATAAAAGAGCATATTCAAAGGAATATTACCTGCGTTTGTTTTTCTCGACTGTGTGGTAAACAACCCCGAGGCTACACGCTACAATATTCTCAATTTATTATTTTTCCGAGCGTGAGCAGGGGAGCATTTGCCCTACCCCCCCCCCCCCAGCAATATGGCTTCGCACCTCTTTTTCCTTTTTTTCTCGTTTCGGGGGGGGGGGGGGCAATGGCTGAATATCTGTTGGCAGGTCGGGTTGCTAGTTAGCTGGATGTGTTGGAAAGTTGACTTGCTGGCTTGCTTGTCGTTAAACGTTGTTAAGCGTTGCTAAACTTTATCACCTCACAGGTGTTAGATTAAAACTATTAGACTCTGGATAAGATAAGACTCTGAATAAGATAACGTCATCGCCCATCAGAAACTAAATTTCATCATAAAGCAGTCGCTCACACATAATTATGTTGGTGTTTTGTTAGTCACGTTGCTCGATTTTGTTTAGATCGTTGATATTAAATTTATGGTTTGTTGGATATATAGTGGCGATTTTTTTCTCGACACGATTCGGATTTACACAATCCAAAGTTTTCCGTGCAAGCTTTGATGAGATTGAAAACAGGCAACGGACTATAAGCGTATTTTGACTATACTTTGACTCGTCCTTATTACAAAAGAAAATTACGACATACACGGTAAGCACAAAAGCATACCCCTTGAAAGTTTATGCAAATGGTCAGCCTGCAAAACCAGTTTATCCAAATTGTATTCGAGGAATGTTCAGAAGTTTCTCGTTGCATAATGCAGAGCAATACAACAACTATATGGCATCACGCCCACGTTTAATTAATGCAGGGGACATCGTAAACCAGCACATGTTTACATGTATACAATAATTATATTTTGGTGTTTTTCACAATGTTCTCCACGTACAGGCCAATGTTGTTATTTGGCGACCATGACTCTGTTAGACCACAGTTCGACCGAAAGCGCTTCTCCCGCATTATCGATTTCAGACTGTCGGAAGCCCTGCTACTGGTTCAAATATGCCGGACCGTCCAAAAACGCAAGAATCCAATAATTTGTCTACTGGTTGCCTAATCTTCATGCTAAAGACCTGACAACTATATCGATATTCTGCCCGGGTTTGCCTGGTAGAAGGACAATCATGTCTAGTCAACAAGCGCAGTCGAAGGCTGTCATATGGTAGAGTGGAATAGACTGACATTCTAAAAGTTGCTGATATATAGAAAATAACTGTCAGTTTGATGCTCTTTAAAACTTGACCCAGATTCAATTTTAAATATCCGAACTGTAAGCACAATTCAAATTGTTGTAAAAAGTGATGAAAACTATGACTGCAAACAGACTTAGACAATGAATGGTCCATTATTAAGATTGGATGTGCAATTTACACAATTTAATATTATTGACTATATAAATACATTTTATACAGTGCAATAAGCAGCAGTATATGAATGTCGTGGTTGTCGGGCTATGATTTGCTTAATACACTAACTAGATTAAAAATCGGCATTGAAAACAATTGAAGAACCAAGAATAGAAATTGGAAATACCGAGGATGCAGTGGCGTAGCACGGTCATTTTTATTGGGGATAAGCACTTCTTGAAAAGGGCACTTGCAAATACGTGGTGAAATCTATCTTTTTTTTCTACGGACACTTGGCCTCCGTAAATTCAAAAATCGGGGTGGGTGGGTGGGGGGGGGGGCTAGGCTAGTGCCATCTGTCGATGGGGGCGCTATTCAAAACCCGACGAGTATGCACACTAACGGACAATATATGGTGCTTTTCAGGGGGATACATGCTTGAAATTCAAAAAAAGGCACCCGGAACGGCCGATGGCACAAAATAGGGCACCACTTCTTCTTAAAAAGGGGAGGGGTCAGAAAAAAAGGGCACTTCTTGAAAAGATGGCAATCTTTACAAAATATTGTGGGAAATACCCCCTTACCCCCCCCCCCCCTTCCCCCGCTGGCTACGCCTGTGGGATGGGAATGGAAATGGAAGGGATGGGGCTTGACACCATTGACACAAGGTGGCGCTTTTTATGATAGGCCAATATAAATATACCTAAAGGAACTTTTTATGCAGTTGCAAGCGCACGAAGGAGGTGATTTAAAAAAAAAATCAAATTTCTACAATCGTCGAAAACTATTATTTGGGAACTCTCTATTACCAGATAATTTGAAGGTGTGCAAAATTATGTGATCAAATTTGCATATGCAATTTTGTTACGTGTACATTTGTAACAATTTATCAACGAGTACTGTCCGTGCTATAATCGAGTTCGACCTGAAAAAAATCATTGCTAATGTTCTGACAATACCAAAGTTATTCTCATTTGTGAATGAAACATAGAATGAGACCCCTAGAAATCAGCCCAAAGGGCACGTTTAGTTAGGGGCCTATGGAATTATCACTTGACAACTTCGAATTATTTGCGGTTGGACACTATAGGTAGGTTTAGGTAGACTAGCACCCTATAATCGAGAATGTTGAGATCGGGAAACAGTCTAGGCCAGGACAAACCCCCTAATATTTAAGGAATTAAATACGAAGGAAATAAATACCTTCTTTATTAATTCATTGGCAGCGCGCGACTCTGTCAAAACTATAATTGAGTCCACGTGGATGTGTTTGATTGAATTGATAGGATTGAGTTAGCATCTGCATATAGTTCATTGCGATAAATGCATGGAGAAATGTAGACCCTGCTGTGTCCACTGTTTGACAGTGTAAATTGTTTTGTTTGATGCGAGTATTGTGAAAAAACTTTGATTTTGTATTGTTCAACAGGCTTCAAAAGATCCCCACTTGGTAGAATATACATCTTCCATCGTCATGTTGTGATTCTGTCTCTGTATCCGCCACCTAGAATGGTATTAAACTATCTAATGTCAAATTGCTAACAGTTTGCAAAGGGATAAACAACTCTTATCATCATCATCATCATCATCATCACCCCATCACCCCCCCCCCATCATCCCATTATCACCATCACCATTCATAGCCTGTCCCTGTCGGAACGTCGCTTCCCAGACCATGGTTCTATAGCCATCTCTATCAGCAGCCTTACTTCCAGCTAAGTTATTTCAATCTCTAACCTTTCACCGATGTCTTGTTCCCACCGTTCCAACACCTTCGTTTGCCGTTTGCTGATGTTGATTCACTGCTATATCTTTTTACATGCCCAAAATAATCAATTTTATTTTCTTGATCGTGTTCAGGAGTCATACAGAGGGAATGCCCAACTGTTTTAGAATACCCTCCTTTCTTACTTGTCTGTCTATGATTATCAACCGTTTTCTGTAACGTTTCAATTCGAAAGTTGTTATCATTCTTGTTGACCGTCCATGCTTCACGGCCATAAATTAATACTGGACAAGTACACGTTCTCACGGTTCTGTATGACCTCAGTCTCAATATCCTGGCCTTTCTACACGTGTTCAAGTTGTTTCATCATGTTAGACAGTGTCATGGCACATCTCCTATACTCGTTTCACTGCTGGAGCTTCCATTCTTTGCGATATGGACTCCTACATTTTCTATCTGCTCACCAT